GATTTATTACATAAACCTTAAAGATGCATTATGTAAGAGCTATAAATCTGCCTGTTGCATATCTTTATTTTGGCTTCAAATAATTCACATGACAGGCCTATAATCAGCTCTCTAGAACATCGGATGTCTGAGGTTTAAACAGATTGAAACATCATCACAATTTAATGGTTTTAAATAAAAATGGTGAATTGAGACCAAGTTTTGATGAACAACTAGTTGCTACAATTATAATAAACAGTCTATGCCACATCTTGTCAAAACTTCAGAGATAACTTCCTCTGAATAAATAAATATGAATGGAATTTTTTCAATATATTCATTTTGCATTATCTATTTCTGAACTGTTATAGCAAGATTGGCCAGCCCTTTATCTAAATCATAATGCATCTTTAAAATGTTTTAAATACTTTAAACTGTATCATGAAGTAGAATGAGTTGTAAATCTAAAACATTTATAGTACCATATTCTCTTGGTGCAAACAGAAGTGACTAGCTAATAGTTTGTGTCTGTTTCCAATAATATTTCGCATTATCTGTAATACTAATGGAAATAGTTCTGCAGTTCATGCATCTATTTCCAGTATTCTTTGGAATGTTCAGGAATTCCTGGTGGGCAACACAATGTGATTTAATTGCCATTAATAAATGTACCGAAGCTGACTGTTCTGCAAATTTTAAAGGTGAAGTCACAGGTTTCTTGAAGGACCATGGATAAAAGTGGGATTGATATGAAGAAATGGTCTATTTACAACTTTATACATGTGCCTTTGAAAGTTTTAAGTTGAAACATACATGTATATTGAGCCTTTTAGATACATGTATCATCATTACATTTTGATTTGCTTAATAAGGGCGGTTGGGTTGGCTGAATGGTTAGGTCATAAGGTTTGTCATTAAGTCAATTGGCGTGTATGTGGCAATGAGTAGGATCATCTATCCAATCCCTGGGGTTTCCTCCCACAAATAAAGATGCCTACATGTACATGCAAGCAAATTGTTTGAATAAAATTTATTATATTAGTCCTGAAATGACCTAGTTTATGTCAAGTAGAGGTGAAGGTGGAGGTACAGTACATGTGCATTGTTAAATTCTATGAATGACTTCAAAAAGAATATAGATTTAATTATCCAAGAACTTATGTTGCGTGGAATTTGGGGACTAAGCCCACCTCCACATGGAAACTGAAAGACATTGTGTTTTCAAAATAAAATATTTTAAAGTGCACAGATCAAAGACATCACTCTAGGTGGAACGTGTGCGTAGTACCCACGAATGAACCAATGGTAGAATCGTACACACACATATTAATTGTATAAAATAATTAGGTTTTACTCAACAGTTGTTTATAATTATTATTTACCCAATAATTATTGCTCACCAGTGTTTTTGAAATCAAGTAGCCTCGTATTATTTGTTGACTGATGTTTAAACAACATTTAATTGACTTGATATGAAATCTGAATATAAATTATTCGAGGGATAAACTTTTGTGATACGATTTATAATAAAAGTATTTTACAATTGCATTGACAGTTTCATCACTCACCAAACGGCATCAGGAACCCTGCGTATGATCAAGTGTATTTGATATTCATGTCCATGAATCCCACGCAATTTTCGCGCCAACCTCAGTTACTACGCCCGTAGTGCATGGAACCGTACATGGCAATAAGATTCCCAGCGTTGATTGGCTGAGAAATGAGGGCGATCTATGCATGGTCATCGGAAAATTTCATATTCGCTGTAAATTTCAAATGGAGTTACGATAAAAGTTGTTCTTTGTGTATAGAAATGGTTATTATAATTATATATAGCTAATATTGAATATATCGAAAATTGACTGGCACCATTTGTATTTCTGTACTTATAGAGAATAGTTTGGGATATGAAGTTATCAAGTATTACGGGGTTATCCAAATTACCGGTAAATACGCTAATTGCTTAGGTCGTCTTTAGTTGTCACAGGGCCTATTTAAACAATGGCACCTTAAATGGATCTACGGCATGATACGGAATTTTAAATTCGCTCTGAAATATTCCAATCACAAATGTCTAATCTATAACACCGCAAGACGATAATTCGGTGATTATGATTGTGCCAGTCACATGTTAATTGGACACATATACACTTGTCAACTGGTGGTGTCTATTGTATAGATAATGTATATAGTATGTGTAGTGCCTGTGACGTCACCAGTCAATCAACCGGATTAAGGTTATAATTGAAAATTTGAAAACTGTTTTTTGCTTTCGAATACTTAAACCGCAATTAATTTTAATCAGATTGGTTTGAACTTGCTGTAAAATGGATATAGTAACCATTGGCTATAAGTACATTCAATTAAGATTTTTAATCTTATGTGGTTTTTAAGTAACTTTATTACAGAATTAATCAGTTTATTAATCCTGAAACAAATATCTGATATCGCTCCTTTAAAATAAAAAATTACCATCATTTGAAGGAAATGTACAGTAAATAATGTTTATATTCATGAGAGAATTGAGAGTCATACATTATGTAGGTTGTCTAAGGAAGGAAGAATTGTGAGAAAATCTGAGGTTAATAATCTGCAACAGACCACCATACTATTCACTGACATTTTTGTTTTTTATACACTTCCTCTGTCTGAACAGGTCTGTTCTTAAAACACAGCTTGTTAAAACTATAACCATATTACAATTATGTGACAAGTTTCCTTGGCTATTATTTTTTTAAAGACGCAATGCGGTTGAAGAAGCTTTTTCCTTTCTTTTAATTTAACAAAAATAAGAGCTGAAAAGTGTTCTTGATATTGTAATTTAGGCGATTGATACAAAAAAGGCAGGTTAGAATAGATAGGCCGACCGTTTTAGAATAGTACAGATGTTTTATATACTCTTCAAAAAAGTAGGGGATATTGAAATGCATGTATTCATTAGCCCCAATGGAGCAGAAAAGTAGGACGTTAAATTGGCATTTATTCTCAAATTTTAGACCTTTAAAGATTAAATTGTAATTGGGTCTGTGTATGTATACTTTTACTGTACATGTTTATAACTGGTATTTATTCTCAAATGTTAGGCCTTCAACGAAGTAGTTAGGCTTAGCATACACATGAAGATTTTAGTCTTCATACACAAATCTTTTTAGTCTTTGGTTAAAAATAACGCTGTGTGTTCATGCACCAGCCAAAAACTTTTAACAACAAGAATCACCCCTGTAAAAAGGCACCACAAATATAGTTTATCAAAATCAAGTGCTATTATTTAGTATCTTTAACTTGATAATGTCATATGAATCATCGTGTCACTGTTTTATACAATATCAGAAAGAATTTGTTACCCCATATGTGTGTTATGAGTAGACTGATGTTTGTGTTTTAAAGACAACAATTGCTGGGTGTGCATGGACTGTCCCATGTCTGCAGAACTTGCCCAGAAAATTGTCTTATAATATAAGCAGCTGTGTTCAGTTTAATGGGGACATTTGTAACATCAACAAATATCGCAGTTGCTGATCCGCTGTCTTTAACTTGTTAATTTAACGTCTGCAAATAATAAACCCTGAATCTGTAACTTGTGAAAAATGGTAAATGCATTTACACTTAAATTCTGATAGTTTTTAATGAAAACTTGATAGGTATATATAAAAATTTATATGAAAAGTTAAAGATAACTACTCTTAGGTATTAAATACACAAAAGTGTAAAAGTTTTTTGAAAAATGAACTACATTATTTGTCGATTACTAGCACTTTCGCTTATTTTATTAGAGCTTAATAAAATAAGCACAAGTGCTAGTAGTAATCGACAAATAATGCAGTTATTTATTTTAGATTTTAGTGTATAACAAATCTGTAGGTGAAAGAAATTCTGAAATTATTTACATGTATGGTGTGATAGCATCTGATTTTCTTAAAGAAGGAGAATGTGCCATGCTTTCTGGAATTCATTTGAAATAGAGGAATATTTTAACTCTCAGTACAAGAATTAGGATTGGAATATGTAAAATATGAGCAATTCACCAAAATGAAGGAGAGGTTCTCCAACACCACATCTAGAAATAACAACCATATGACACCTGGAAAATATCAGTTAAACAAAATATTATGTGCTGACCTTGTGACCTCCTTCAACCCACAGAAGTAAATATGTCCTCAATCACAATTGGTAGAGGTTTATTCTCTATTTAACAAAATAACATGTCATAACATTCCAAATATATGTCCAGACCTTAGTTTAAAGATCGTCTGTAATAAAAAGAGAATATTTGTCAGCAAAAAAAAAAAAGAAAGGTGTTTCAATGGGTTTCTTTTTCACTGTTACCTTAGATATATATATATACCTCTCTTTGAATGGATCCTCTACCAATATATGGTACTTCATACATAATTGGGAGGGGGGGGTGGGGTGGATGACTGAATGGTTAGCTTGTGCGCTCATTGAATCAACTGGCTTGGTTTCGATTCCCTGGTTGTTTTCCTAGGGTCCTCCAGTTTCCTCCCACTGCTAAAGACCCCTACGCACAAGCAAATTTTCCAAATAAAATTGAACCATACATGTATGTTAGTCCCAAAATGATCTAGTATGTGTTGAGTGGACGTTAAACCCCATTTCTCTCTCTCTCTCTCTCTTTTATATAATTACATGGTATTGTTAATTTCAGAGATTCATTATAAAGTAGTAGTATTTCAATGAATTATGTAATTAAGATAATGACACCATTATTTCGGTGAATACCATTTAAGGAATTAACACCGTACCGTAACAGTTACACCGTAATTAAGTGAAAAGTAGTTGTATTTCAGTGAATATCATAACACTGTAATGAAGTGAACAAAAGTGATATTTCAGTTAATTGCATATGTATTTGATGACATCGATGCGTCATTGAAACTGAATAAATTACAAGTTCTGTATATTATTTGTCTGATGGAGCAGTTCACATATTATATATAATAATGCCTATTCCTCCAATTCAGATTCATATTTTTATTGATTTGTATTTTACTATCTTTCAGGTATGATTATAAGAAGTTATTGTATAATTCCACTTTTTGTTTAGTACCAAGAGGTCGTAGACTTGGGTCATTTAGGTAAGTTGATTTGAATGTTTATCTAATATAGAAACTGTTTATTTATAAAACATATAAATATCATGATATAATCATTATACTTAATGCTCTGTGAAATCAGGCCATACTTATAAAAACATTAAAGATACAGTGAGAACAGGGTTTTATATCAGATTTTGGAGCCACGGTGGTTAAGTGGGTAAGATGCTGGCTCACTAGTCTGGAGGTCACGTGTTCGATCCCTGCATTGGCCGAGAAAGTTCATCAGGATTTTCCGATGTGTTTTCCCCTTGTCAGTGGTGCAGGATGGAGGGTCTGACAAGGACAGCTGTCTAGTGATTCGGATGGGATGAAAAACCAAGGTCCTGTGTATACATTGGCATGTACGTAAAAGATCCCTTGGCAATTGGAATTCAATATAAGAGTGGATTTTACTCCCATAGTGCCGCTGCCCGACATAATTTTCTTCATAGCACACTGTATGGCGTATACCCACCTTCTTTAGCCCAGCCGGAGCAGAAAAGTAGGATGTTAGATTGAGAGATATGTACAAATTTTATAAAGTTTACACTTTATGATTGTGTTTTGTCGTAGCCTCATGTATGTCCATTCTAAATTTATGTAAAATGCTACTGGTTAATGGGATTTGTTTTCAAATATGTCTAGAAGAACTGTATTTTCAATTTTGATTATCCATTACAACCTGTCGGTGGTAGCACTTTCTAGGATGAATAGGGGATTCAAAAGATGCCTTGGCAGTTTGAATTCTAAATGAACATTTCCGTCATTTGCATTGCACTCAGTAGCCTAATAAAAATGAAAATTACATCATTTAGCATTGAAATAATCTGATGGAATAGAAAAGAAAAACTAGACCGGTGTAGAAAGTCAGAATGCACATATTAAAAGATGATACATGTAGATGGAGATTGGAGAAGAGAAAGTGGCATGTTTCCTGTGCAGAAAAATTCTCCCATTGATGTGATGTTAAACCACATTCCATTTTAGTATTTAATTACCATGAAACTACATATTGACAAGTATGGAGACGTATAATTATATGATTACATTATTTACCTTAAAAACACACAGAGACATATTATGATTGCAATATTTACCATGAACCACATCATGGAAAAAATGTGATTATAAAATTACAATATTTACCATGAAAACACATGGAGACCTTTCATTATATGATTATAATATTTACCATAAAAACACATAGAGATGTGTAATTATATGATTACAATATTTACAGATTTTTAGAAGTTTTACAAGCAGCATGTATACCTGTTTTATTAAGTAATCGATGGGAATTACCATTTTCTGAAGTTATTGACTGGAGTAAAGCCGTTGTTTCTGCTGATGAAAGACTTTTATTACAGGTACTTGTAGCCATTTTGTTTTTAACACAGACCATAATGTACTTTTCTTATTTTAGTATTGGGGGGTTAAGGTGGCCAAATGGCTTAACCTGTACGTGTTAGATCAGAAGGTCTGCCATTCAGTCAAGTGGCAAGGAGTAGGGTTGCCTGTCCAAGCTTGTGGGTTTTCTTCGTGTCGTCTTGTTTCCTCACACAGCTAAAGACCTATCTGTCAAGTGAATTTTTGAAATAAAATTGAACCATATGTTAGTCCCAAAGTGACCTAGATTGTGTTGAATGGACGTTAAACCCCATTTCTCTCTCTTTTTTACCATTATTTGGAAAATGTCCGTCTTTATGTTAGAGGGACATTGCAGAATTTTTTGACCTAGAGATACAAAATATATATCATCTCTGTGAAAAGTTATCGACAAAAGAATTAATTAGCCTAGACTTAGCACTAAATCTTTCTGCCATGTTTGGAAATAAATATTGCATGGATATATATGCTTGTCATGGAATCAGTGAAGTTAATCTTGATTAACCAGGTACTAGACTTGACACATGAGCCGACAATTCACTTGTGAAAATGTGGAGTCAATTCTATAATCGTGAAGAACTAGGATTAATTGGATTGGTTACCGTCTGCAGTAAGACCAGAAATTACCGAATCCTGAAATTAATGTGGCCTGAATGATCAAGTCAAAATTAAATCGTAATACAACCTTCTGTATACTAAAATGGATTGCTTCTTGTAATTTGAACATTATATTAAGTAAGAGTGTAGACACCATTTATCAGATGCCAATACAATGCATTCGTATTTCACTAATTTTAAATTATTTATTACAGGTTCCCTCCATTGTTCGCTCAATCAGCCAATCAGAAATTTTGTTTTATAGACAACAGACACAGTTTATATGGGAAACTTATTTATCTTCCGTAGAAAAAATAGTTTTAACAACTTTAGAGGTAAGATAAATCTCTCAAGTTTTCAATATGAACTTATGTGACATTTTAACGGAGCAGTCTTAGGTTTTACAGCTGTCTTCATTAGCCTTGTTGGTGCACAAAAATAGGACGTTTCTATTTCACGTGGTATACAAATTAAATTCTAAGATATGAAGAAGTAGCGAAATTACATGTATCTTCTTTGAATGTTACAAATAAAAATAATGAGTTGTTTTGAGCCTGGCAAGATAACGGCAAATTAACCAAGGCTACCCATGTACTTGAAAGTTTGAATTTGATGAAGAGAAGTCTGTCCGTGTAAAATTTTCCTCCTAGCACACTGCAAGGCATATGTCGGTCTTCATACGGTTGTTGCAGACTAGAAGGACATTTGATTATACATCATTTCATTTCATTTGTATAAGGACTTGATAATCATGACTATCATCTACCAATATCCAATGGATAGCTTTGGATGGTATATAGGCATCATTATCCAGATGCTTATTGCCAAAGTTTGTACTTCCTGCACTGATTATTACAGAGTTATTTATAGTAGTTGTCAACCAGGATTAACCTGCTTTATTCACTAAGGGGCTTGAGCGTGTTGCATCATAAGGCCTGTCATTGAGTCAAGGGGCGTGGTTTCGATTCCTCGATTCCTGGGTTTTCTCAGGGTCCTCCGGTTTCCTTCCACTGCTAAAGAACCCTACACAAAAGCGAATTATTAAAATAAAATAGAACCATATGTTAGTCCCGACATGACCTAGTTTGTGTCAAGTGGATGTTAAACCCCATTTCTCTCTCTCTCTCCCCCCACTTGTATGTGACGATGAGTAGGTCGCTTGTCCAACCTCGTGGAATTTCTCCGGGTCCTCCAGTTTCCTCCCACTGCTAAAGAACCCTATGCGCAAGTGAAATATTGAAATAAAATTGAACCATATGTTACTCCCAATATGACCTAGTTTGTGTGGAGTGGATGATAAATCCCATTTCTCTACCTCCCTTTGTTCACTAAAATATATCAGATGCAGCTCCTTTAATATTAAAGATAGATTTTCAATGCGAGTGTCATATTTTTATATTCTTCAAATGTCAACCTGTGATTTAATCACATAAATCAGACACCTAGACTATATGAGCCAGAAGTTTTCATACATAGAGGTGGGTGGCTGAGTGGTCTGACACGTGTTAGATCATTAAGACTGTCATTTTAAGTGTTGGATGTTGGTTTCTGAAATAAAGATATGTTACACCTGAAATATCCTAGGTTCTCTCATTGTCTTTTTGCACAATGGAATAAAACAAATTGTTTTCAAAGATTTAACGACTATATCAATGGACCAGTGGTCTTTGTTATTAGAGGCACAGATTTCAAACGAGAAGTGATGCAATTAATGAATTTCTCTCTTTGTCTTTTTATACGGCCATATTCAAATGTGGTTGAATATTGTCGTCACCCTCGTCCATCTGTGGTAACGTACATACTTACGTCAGTCCGGCATCCATTAACCGTCAGAATAAAACGTTTCAGGAGGCCATTTTGCAGGTCATGACTTGAAAGTAAAAGTGACAAAAAAATGTTAAATATTTTATACCACTGAATAGAGGAATTCAAGACCTTTCCAAAAATATATACATTTGTATGATTTATTCTTAAATTTAAAGAGTTACTGGATATTTTCTTAACTATATGCTTTTCCTAGTCGAAACCCCAAACAATCCAACGGTTAAAAATGTATACTAAACCCTAGTATAATTACTTAATGGATTGTTACCCTTAATCAGATTTTCATTACCGACAAAAGAAAAAAAAATATGCAACACTCCTTATTGACTGCTTGGATGACTTAGCTGATGTGGGTGTATGTTTCGTTGCCTGGCAACCTATCTTTCGTTCAGTTGAATACAGAAAAATTATGCCGAGATCTAATAACTCTTGAAAAAATGGGTCAGTGTTGTTAGTTATAAAATGATTTATAATGACAAGTGACGCAATTAGTCAATTTCATGTGTAGGTGCTTATTCTGACTTTTTGATGATAGTGTTTACTTTGAAATGGACTGGCAGTTATTCTGTTCATGTTGCGCAGGGTGAGAACATAGTGACATTTGTAGAAGGTTGAAGGTCATAGGTTATATGTATTTTAGGTAATAAAGTATATTGTGATGAGAATGATTGACAGTATGACAGGTAATAGTTCTCATGTACACCAAGGTGACCTTTATACATAAAATAACTTGTATGCCATCCTTTTATATGTACTTTTAAAGGGACAACCTCGGGACTTGTGCTCTATACACGTAGGTCAGTTTACTGGTCTGGCAACTTTTCTCAAGTTTGAATTCACACTTGAGCTGAGAAGAACCAGTGGGCTCTTTCCAGATCACTCTAAGAAAAAAGTTGATATCTCAAATCAACACCAAAAGCTCTCTTCAAAGGAGCTAAATCGCTTGGATTTAGGTCAAAATAAAGTATTGAATTGGATTAATCTGATTATTTACATGTAATACAATTATTGATGGGGCAATCACTACTATACAATTAAATTTTTATTTTGAAATATAAAATGGAAGTCAGTTGTTTACTAATTTTGATTGAATCAACAGTTTAATCAAAGAGATGTGTAATCCCTTTAAAACTAAACAAGAGTCTGTTTTTATACTTTTAAAGTTAACTTAATTTTCAAATCATTGTCACTTAAACTTGAATGAATGGTTTAGTAGAAGTTGTGGTGTAATGGCAAAGATATTTATTGTATACCAAATACTTGTGATAAATTAAAAATAAGTTTATTTCAGGAAAAGATCATGATAAATTTTTGACATTAAGTACACTTAGACACAATATTTCTATGAACCAAGCCCTTAATATTTGTTTATTGTTAGAGTGATGTCCTGCATAGAAATTGACACCCGGCACTCCTTTTCTTGTCTCAAATGACTACACCTCTTTGATTCGAATAAGAAAAAAGAAAATCTTGATATCAGTAAATTTGATCTGTTAAATTGATTTGCGGAGTGGTATCTGTTTATATTCAATGGAGTCGATGTAGAGATACGACTGATTTTGTATTCAATAGTCAGATCCAAAACTAGAGCCACAGTGACTCAATGAGTAAGGCTGCATGTAAAAAAAAAAAATACCAGGCAGTTGTAATTCTATGAAGACTAGGTGAAAAGTTGCTTTTCATGCAAAATTTCCCAAATAGCCCACTGTATGGCTTATGCCTGTTTTCATTAGGCTTGTTGATGCAGAACAGTAAAACACATAGATTTTCGCTTGCTGCTTTATGAACAAAAATTATATTGTTTAGTATTGTCTCAACACTTATCGGAATAACATATCAGAAGAACCTAATACACAACTTTATTTATAAGTCAAAGAAGTTTAGCTCCTTTTAGATGCAATTTATTCTTTATCTTTGTCAGAGTTCTTTTAAAATTTGTTACATTCTGATTCCAGGAACCAGCGTTAAAATTTTAAATAAAGTGTATTTATTCATGTTTTCTTCTATTTTCAGATAATTAAAAGTAGAATAAAACGGCATAAAAGTAGAGCAAATAAATTATGGAATTTAGAACCAGGAGCATTATCAATTCTTCCAGAATTTTCCGATGTCATGGAAAAGTTTCCATTTTTCTATCATCAACTTGGCACGAAACCGGGTGATAAGTTTACAGCGGTCATTTATGCCACAACACCAATAGCGTTAGCGTCTGCACCACTATTTAGAACTTTACGTAATGTAGCTAAATCACAAAATGTTGTTAAGGTATGAACTGTTATATTTTAAATTATTTTTTGTATTTTATTGAAGGAGGATTATTATTTTAATGGGCCATTATGTAAAATGATATATATTATAAGACTGATCTGATTATCGAAAGATTTACAAGAGAATCACTATACATTAGTGTTCATTGGGCATAAAAAAATTACCCGATTTGTTACGCTTGGATTTAATATTCTTTTGTTCTAAAACTAAAACACATTTAATACTAATCTTATATTATACATGTAGCTATCTACAGCTTATTATATTGTATAATGTTACGTACAGTAATCAAGAGTTGTCATCCGATATTAACAAGGGATTTTATTCAGCAGGGTGGTATGTAAAGTAGCTTATTAAATAAACTGTGAGAATTTCTAGGTTAATAAGTATATTTTAAAGGCAAATAGATTTGAATTTCAGTAATAATTTGTGTAATGTCACATAGCATTTTGATATACGGTAATTTAAATCGTTTTGATAGGGTCACTAACTGGTCCAGTTAAATAACATAATTTATTCATCTCATAAATACATATAACTTACCATGTTTTAACATTTACTTGACAACAGAAATTTGGAATGGTACTAGCTGTGTGTTCATTAACTGTGTTCTCAAAAGAATGTTTACATTTCTTGACATACTTGCTATATGGAATTCAAATAGACAATTTTGTTAATTTGGTAGTAATCGCTTCAAATTTGGATTGGATAAACATCCACACGTTCCAAAACAGTTTGAGTTTGATGGCTGTTTAATGATAGTGATTTGTCAAAGCGATTCTCCTAATCGTTGTTCTTAAATTCACATTTAATAATGATGCAGACTGATTAATGACGACAAATATTTCAGATTTGTATATACATACACATTACTATTGAGATGTGAATTAAATACATAATTTACATTTAATCCAATTATTTATCATCAAATTAAAATAACTAGAAAAAATTGTTAAAATAGGTTGCATTGCAAAAAATATTCTTTACCTGTTTTCTATATAGAACAACTAGGAAATAGAGAAATTTTGATAAAAATAAGTCATATGTCTTCAACGTGAAATAAATTAATAGGAAATGGAAATGAAAAATCTTTTAAAAAATAGGTCATAGTTATTGTGATAGATCCTGATTCACAACTTGTTTTCATTAGACCAATAGGTGGAGACGTTAAATATAATTTCATTTCTTTTTTTTTCAATGCACACTTTTTTTATACAGAACTTGACAAATTCGTCACAGAACAGTTTACCTTTTGTAACTTTTTTGTTTTATGCTAGATTATTAAAATACTCTATTATTGGGCAAATCTTTTGTCTAAGACTTCAGAGTTAGCTTTTCTTTGCATGGATTTGAGTTTGTTGGATGGATATGTACTGTCACAAAGATCGTCTGATTTTTGGTTGAAATTAGGAGTGAATGATGATTTGTAGTAATTCATGATGTGTAATAGATTTTAAGTCATTTATTTTTATGAATAGATCACCAGGCAATTATAGTAACATCAAAAAGGGGAATAGTCTTATTTATCTTTCATGAAATATAATTTTTAGAAATGAAACTTAAGTTCTTATAAAATAGTACGCAAATTAGAAATTAAAAAGGAAATTATTTTTAACAAATTTGTGTTGTCTTGGAAAAAAAGACACAGTGACCAAGCTATTATTAATAGATCAACTAAGAAAATGAAAATTATTAAAAATAGGTTAAGATCCTAAAAACTACTAGGATTGTCCTGGCTATATTATAAATAAATAAAACATATTAGGGGTTTATAATATTTGATGATAAAATGTTTATAAATAATGATAGATGTAAATATATAAACACATGTTTTGACCAGGAAATACTGTTTTATCAACATGTGGTAAACTCATCTACCACACAGTAGTCTACCCTAGTTATTCACAAAATAATATGACTTGAGTGTCAATGACCTTACAAATTTAAATGTTTTGTTGACACTGAATATTGAAATAAAAGTTCTTTGATTTAAAAGCAATATAATATTTGCGAAAATATAAATTGAAATATTATATATGGTAATTATTTATTATATAATTTATTTATAGATTATAGTTTTATGGCATTGTGATATACCTCCACCACCATCACATAAATGGCCAGGTGACCTTGGTGTTCCAGTTCTTGTTAAAACTAGAAATATAAAGGTATGTCATACTCAATGAAACGATATAAATACTTACCTGACAGTGGCACAAGGTGTTCCTGAAATATAAACAACTGTTTCATACACATTGAAATAATATAAACACTTACTTACCTAACAGTGGCACAAGGTGTTCCGGTAATATTAACCCTGTGCATGACAACTGTTGCCAAAACCTTTACCTGACAGTGGCACAAGGTGTTCTGGAAATATAAACCTTGTACATGACAACTGTTGCAACAACTGTTTCATACACATTGAGATAATATAAACACTTACTTACCTGACATTGGCACAAGGTGTTCCGGTAATATAAACCCTGTGCATGACAACTGTTGCAAAAACGTAGCTATGAGACCCAAACTGGACAGTAGTTCCAGAAGCACAAAGAATTTATAAAATATTTTATAATTACAAGAAATCTTGTATATACAGATTATTTCCTTACTGCTAGTCTTCTTTTTCTATTAAAGTCTGAACCTGGAAAAAGCACACCCTGCTTTTGAAAAAGGTATAAAAGTTTGCATATTAAACTGAATTGATGGACATAGGTGCCATTGTAGTTGCTTGGTCAGACACTGGACTCAAAAACCTGCAAGGCCTGGGTTTGAATCTAGATCTTGGTCTAGGTCTCCTTTTAAAAAACAAAATGTGATGAAATGATTTTTGTACTAACCATAATAATATATTTATTACAGACAATTAGTGCCAGATTTTTCCCATTTAAAGAAATAGAGACAGATGCTATTTGGAGTTTAGAGGAAGATTCACTTCTTACAACTGATGAAGTAAGTTGTCTTGATTTATCAGGTCTTTAAATTGGATCGCTGGAAACATTCAGGAGTCAAATTAGATTAAATTTAAAGACATGAGATTGTCCAGATACTTAAGAATTCCCGTTTGGTGAAGTAACGGAATAACGCTGTACTATGTGTTTTGTCCTATCGGGATATTGTTGCGATAACTGGATGTTAAACCCAATTTCTCTTGGGGCCTGGAGGTTGAGCCTTGTTCCCACTTGTCCGGCATAGCACCTAAGGTAAGGGTATTCCTTGGTTGTTTGAATGGCTTGATAAGCACAATTCCTGGAGATTAGACAGTAATTGAGTTATCTTGTTGGTGAGACATTAAACACATTTTTCAAATATTTCTCTTTCAAATACAAGAACAGCAATGGGAATATTATATTCTCTTTTCAGGTTGATTTTGCATTCAGTGTGTGGCAAGAATTTCCTGAGAGAATTGTTGGGTATCCAGCACGTAATCATTATTGGGATGAAATTAAACAACGCTGGAGTTACACTTCCAAATGGTCTAACGAATATTCTATGGTTCTAACTGGTGCTGCTGTTTATCATAGGTAGGTAGTGGAATGAAGAATGAATGAATGGGATGAATGCATTAAAATAGATGGTATGGGATGAGATGAACTGAACTTTGAACTCTGAACCAATCCAGAGAACAGTACAAGTATTAAGAATTGTATGATCAGTCCACTCAAACCAGATACAACATAATGAGATTAAAAATATGCCTTGTTTAAGCACATGCTTTCAACCACCAGCTGCCCATTGTACTAATCTTTATTGTCTGATTACAAATATTTCATTATCAAATAATGATAAATAAAGTTTTAAATATTAAAATTAGGTTTTTGCAATTAAATTGTGTGATAATATGTAAATGATTAAACCATTCAAATTTAAATAAAATAATGGATAAATGTATACGGTTAAACCATTTAATAAATTTATTGATAATTTAAATAAAATATTGGATAAATGTAAATGAAAGCAACAAGATAATTTATGTAGTCATCATATCTATAATTTATTGACTATTAATGACAAATAAAACAGAGGGGATTGGATGGGCGAATGGTTAGCATATGCGTGCTGCATTGAGTCAACTGGCATGGTTTAGATTCCCCGGTTGTACGTGACAAGGAGTAGGGTCGCCTGTTCAATCTCGTGGGTTTTCTCCAGGTCCTCCGGGTTCCCCCCACTGCTAAAGACCCCTATGCGCAAGCGAATTATTGAAATAAAATTGAACCATGTGTTAGTCCCGAAATGACCTAGTTTGTGTCGAGTGGACATTAAATCTGATTTCTCTCTCTCTCTTCCAATAAAACAGTTCTTTATTTAAAGCCACTGATCTTCATTTGAGAAATTTTGAAGGACTTGCAAACAACAATGTTGTGAAAGTTGAATCTTTAAAAGGAATATAAGTCCAATTCAGTTCAGTGCTTACAAAGATATGATGATTTAGGAAGTTTGCAACATTGCATGGATTAAGCCATGAAGAATTAGATATAGTCCAAAAAAAATGCATCACCAGGATCAGCAACTTAGTAGTAATAAAAAAAGGACTTAAAACTGGTCATTACACAGAAATTATCTAGAGGACTGAAATTAAATAAAGACACCATCTTGAACTTTATCTTCATGAATTGGCTAACGATCTTAGAGACAAAAAGATGGTGGCATGAAATCAATAGATAGTGGCATAAAATTAATAGAAAGGAATGAAAACTTAAGATGTCTGTCACTTTTGTGAGGATTGATTTAATTGATTAATTTTTGGACCAATATGTTTTTTTGTTGTAAGACCAAGATCTGAAAGTCTATATTTGTGTGGTGTGGACATAGAATTTTCCTCATGTCAAATGCCTCATTATTTGTATCATTACAATGCGACAATCAGGGAATATGATAAGCGGTATTGCATTGCAGTTTACTAAACCAAAACAACGTAAGTGCGAATCAAATATTAATTTGATTAGTAGAAAGTTATCAAATGTAAAAGAATCTGTGAATCAAGTTTCATGTCCAAAATTAAACATGAAAAAATGTTTAACAAATGTGATTTACAGTTTCACTGTGTATGGACATTTTAATCCCCTTGATGTCGGTCTGCGAGATTTACAGTAGTCAAAGAGTAGTCAATAAACTAATTGTAATCTAATCTTTTAACAGTCATTCAGTTCACAATCTAACTAAGTAATTAGTACAAACATTAAATTTGATAATCCCGTAAATATACAAGCTCGATAGTTTTTCGCAAAACAATAATTTTTATCTTCAACCATTGCCCTTCTTAAGAATTGACCATGTGTTCCCATCTGGCATCCCATTTGCCATCACACGATCTTTTAATCCTTTTCCATTCACTGAACAACAAAATATTTTGTAGGCTATAATCATACGAAAAATGTATCTATCCGAAGCATGCACTGTTATTAGATGTAAACACCAGCTGTGACTTAAATGGCACTTGGTTCATTTTGGCGGGGGGAAAAGGTCACATGGAAAAATAACAACAACATGGCGACAATGCATGCATTGCATATGGGTGTCGATGCTACGATGTAATTTTAAAATACCGTTTTATAATAAAGACAAACAAAGTTTCGACATCACAAACTTTTCTTATCACAGTTATTTTGCTTTCATTTTCTGCCATGTAAATGAAGACACGTAATTTTTGAGGAATATTATTGACGTGAATTTCAAGCAGGTAGCCTACAGGACGGTACGCTGTCATTTTATCGTATTACGAAAACACCTAATTTTGTAGGAAGAGTACGAACATAAATTTGAATACTGTACAGGAATTGAATGTGAAAAATAGCGAGGTGCACCTATTTTTTTGTATTTAGAACATGATATGCTACATAACATAAAACTATTCGTAGTTGAAGTCTATTAAAGGGAATGAAAGCCCCCCATACACACATAAACATAAGTTGTATACCGGTATAAATTATGGCCTTTAGATATAGTTCAATACAATACCGTGAAAATTTACTGATTTGCTGTTCAATCAAGAGGAACTGCTAATCAATTTTCAGATAGATTAGCACCTTTTTTTTAAACATCCAGTAATTGCTAATCAATTTTTTTTTCTTGTTATACACCCTGTCGAATATATTAAAAAAAAAAAAAAAATTTCTAATATATTTGATCTTCCTGTGAAAACTTGTTCAAACAAATCCCAAATGTTACTGTCTGAACTTAAAAAAAAATTGTGTTGAAATTGTTGATATATATGTCGGCATGATGGTGGCTTGATCTACTAGATATTTCTGTATAAACAATGTTTGATGTTAGAATAATATAGCAAGGTGTCTTTTATATTGCATGTTACTAAAACTTATCCAGTCTATGATGCCATGTGGCTTATTCCATTTTAAAGTACCTTGGTGGGTGGGAACTGGGAACGTCAATGATAAATGTATTTTGGTGAGTGCATTCTGCATGTAACAGACCTCTACAAATAGAATCTTAATTTTTCTAGACCCCCTCCACTTCCAGATCAGCTTTTAAAAAGGGGGATTATTTGTCGTTTTTCTCCGCTTTCATCTCGCTTCTAAAGACAAATGCTCGTAAACGAATTATTGATACATAGATAAACTATGTTAGTCCCAAATGGAATAAAAGATAATCATATGTTATTCTCATGATGATCTAGTGTTGACAGGATGTTAAACACCATTTAGCTCTTGATCTGTTTGATTTAAAGTAGCTCAGTCTCTAACTCAATATCATCCACAATCTTCGACATTGAAAACACATTGTTTGTCAATTTAAATCTACATTGATGTTGTGATCTTACTAGGAAAAGAAGGGCTTCTGATATCCAATATTTAAGACAAAAAAAACCATTATATTATTGGTACACAAATCGTGTACCAGAATGCATTTCAGCGCCATTTGTAACAAGGGACTCAAAGAACGAGGCTAGTCATATCAAACAGTGATGCCATATTTTTATCTGGGGAGCATGCGCAATAAAAACTACCGGTGTAGACTGGAATAACTAGACGCTAGAGATTGCCATTCAAATGAGACTTCTCGCGTATTTCGCCGAACATAACTAATTTGAAATTAAGAGTAAAAAACGGAAACGATTAAATGTAAATCAGTTTAAATACATTCATATTACATTATTATATGCGTTGCGACCCATTTGTGTCAATTTCTAGGTCCAAAATATTAGCAATTTAGCCCCTTTGATTAAGCCTGTCATTTTCAGCCTGGTAATTGATAAATAAATAGCACTTGTAAGGTGGCAAAAATAACTGAATGAGGGCTGGAGAAAAACTACTAGATATACTGTTTATAGTGCACACAGTTGATTCACATACTCCTCACAGTGTTTTGTTTGATTATACCTTATCCCACTATACACTGCTTTAACGAAAGCAAATTTCTGTTCCAAATTATGACTGGTCAATGGTCCGATTAACAACCAATAGCTAACTGCGTTACAAAAGCATTACGCTTAAAACAGAGCTCCAAATTGGACCAAATATGTTTACATAACGTTACGTCATGACTCACGATTTTATTATGCCCAATTAACCAGTGCAAAACAGAATATTGCAGAAAAACTAATTGCGTGACAAACGAGGCTATCAAATCGAAAAAAATGTTAACAATACTGTTTGGAGATGAACATACTTTCACTGTTTTTAATACCTTAAATCACTGTCCTAAGTTTTAGGGAAGACCCAGATTAAACTAAGGGCTGTCATGTTGCTGTACTTGGGATAGATTTGATTGAACAGGAAGAATAGACACACTCACTCAAAAGCTCAAGTATCAGAAGCCATTGCTTCAGGAATATGTTGATTCATGGTTAAAATTTATTTCCTGGAGGATCTATAGATGCTAGGAAAATCAGGAAATGGAATACCATTAAACAAAGGGCTGTCATGTTGCTGTGCTTGGGGATAGATTTTAGACATAGCCTACTCCCTCAAAAGCTCAAGTGTCAGAAGCCATTGCTTCAGGAATATGTTGATTCATGGTTAAAATATATTTCCTGGAGGATCTATAGATGTTAAGGAAATCAGGAAATGGAATACCATTTTAGTGAATCCTTTACTTAGAAAATAACAAAACACATCTAATTATAAAATGACTACATTCTACAGTGGATGATAGTGTTTCTCTATATACATTTAGGGTAAAATATCAAAACATTGAATCACACTCAACTGGTTTTGCCTATACAATTAGTTGCATGTTTCTTTGTAAATACATGGTCTAACACACTTGCTGTAGATGTCTGGGTTTCTATGCAGGTCATGGGTTTAAAGCCAGGCCTGTATGTGACGAGTAGTCTGATCATCTGCCGAATCATGTGGGTTTAAAGCCAGGTCTGTGTGTGAGGAAGAATCTGATTGAAAACTTAATTAATAATATTATACCATTAAAACCATAAAGATGATATATATACAATGAGTTGAAATATCGGACCTACATGTCGGCGGTGATCTACCAAACTGATCACCCCATACCCGATACAGTCTATTTACACCTTCCCCTGCACATCCACATTAACTGTCTATATATA